CGGTGTGTGCATGGTGTGTGCGTGGTGTGTGTGTGTGGTGTGTGTGTGGTGTGTGTGTGTGGTGTGTGTGTGGTGTGTGTGGTGTGTGTGTGGTGTGTGCATGGTGTGGTGTGTGCATGATGTGTGTGTGTGTTTGTGGTGTGTGTGTGTGGTGTGTGTGTATGGTGTGTGTGGTGCGTGTGTGGGGTGTGTATGGTGTGTGTGTGGTGTGTGTGGTGTGTGTGTGTGCATGGTGTGTGTGTGGTGTGTGTGTGTGGTGTGTGTGCAGTGGACTGTAAACTCACAACCCAAAGACTCATCCCACAGACTCATAGGCTCATCACACACAGATCCACAGACTCATCACACAGAGACCCACAGACTCACCTCACAGAGACCCATAGACTCATCACACAGAGACCCACAGACTCACCACACAGAGACCCACAGACTCACTCACACAGAGACCCATAGACTCACCACACAGAGACCCACAGACTCACCACACAGATACCTTTTTAACTATTATTTTTATTTGTACCAGTATCAAAATGAAAGACAAAGATCCCACGTAAAGCCTTAACAGACTGTTGGGGCAAGCGCTGTTAGCAAAAACCTATGAAGGCCGGCACGGCACACGAGGGGGTGGGTGGCCAGCACCACGCCCGGCCGCCTTTGTCTTCTCACACACGCTCATAGACAACAACAACAGCTGCCAATCGCCACTAAGTTGTGGTGACGTGACCACGGCACTTGTGCCAGGCTAGGTGCACGGTGAGGCCACGTGAAGTGTCGAACGCCCGCTGGGCGGAGGTCACGGGGCAGACCCAGGTGCCACGGGTCGACTGACTGAGATGACTGGCTGATGCACCACCTGTGCCCCCTACTGTGCCAACCTGCTGTGCTTTAGCCACCCGGCGCTCCGCTCGTTGTTCTGAGCGTCGCTCCTCCGTTGTTGTTGGAGGGCGACTGCCTCCAACTGCCCAGTAGCAGCGTCCTTCACGAGCCTCCTCCACAGAGGCCGATCTTGACACCGCTGGTACCGGTCATCGGCAAGTCCACTCAGCTCCACGTCCTCCTGTACCACATCACTCCATCTCTTCTCTAGCCCGTGCCGCGCCCGTTTAGCCCCCTCGATCCGGCCGACAAAAGCTGTTTCGGCATGCAGTGGCTGGGCATGCGGGCTACATGACCCAGCCAAAGCAGCCTTGCCTGCCGGAGGAGCTCACCGATGGGACCTTGCCCAGATCTTTCATGGATTTGTGAGCTCCTCACACAATCCAGTCTGGTTAAACCCAGGATGGATCGTAGGCAGGCCAGCCTAAATGTTTCTAACCGGCGATGATGTTCCATTAGGGGGGTCCACGTTTCGCAAGCGTAGAGAAGGGAGGGAATGACCGTGGCCGAGAAGACCTGAAGCTTAGTGCGGAGCGACAGACCAGGTAGCTTCCACACAGCGTTACGCAACCGATGAAAAGATATTGCCGCTCGATTGATTTGGAGTGAGACCTCTGCTGTTAAACCGGAGCCGGTCATAAGCACACTTCCCAGGTATGGGAAACTCTCCACTCTCTCCACAACTGCCCCATCACCGATTGGGAGTTGTGGGGGTGGAGTGTCTGATGGTACAAAATACCCAGGCAGGTGCTTAGTTTTGGTGGGGCTGATGGTAAGGCCCCATCTCTTAGTGGCACGCTCCAAGTTCAGCAGCAGCGCCTCCAACTCCTCCTCTGAATGAGCAGCAATTTCCAGATCATCAGCATACATAACATGGTTGACCAATAGGGAGCCATCCCTTGACTGCACCCAGGCATCGGATCAGCCTCCCATTGTATCTGTACCAGATGGAATTCCCCTGGTACAGCTATTGAAGGCTTCATGAACTACGTGGTCAAAATAGATGTTAAATAATGTGGAAGCCAGAAGACATCCCTGTCGCACCCCAAGGTGAACAGGGAATGGCTCCGACTCCCGGCCACTTAGATTTACCCAGGCCTGCTCACCATCATGAAGGTCCTTAATGATCATGAGTAGAGAGTCAAGTCATCCGAAAGCACGAAGAACAACCCAGAGCCCAGGCCTACTGATGGTATCATAGGCCTTGAGGTCAATAAAGCAGAGATGTAGGTCTTGTTGGAATTCCCGATACCTCTGCTGTAACAGACGGACAGAAAATATGGCATCTGTGCAGGACCGCCCTTTCCTGAAACCGCATTGGGGCATCACAGCACTCTGAGGAGTGAGATGCCCCTGTAGTTGTTACAGTCTGTGCGGTCCCCCTTCTTAAAGAGGGGGACCACCAGGGCATCCTTCCAATCCTGCGGAACCCGTCCAGTGGTCCAGACTGTTGTTATGATGTCATGTAGAGCAGTCTGCGCACAAACGTCACCCTCCCTCAGCATTTCGCTTGGGAGATCATCTCTGCCCGGTGCCTTTCCTGGTCTCAGACTCCGGATCGCCTTCAGTACTTCCTCAACAAATGGCGCCTCAGCCAGCCACTCACACAGGGGGTGACTTCTTCTTCCAATATTTGAGGCACCGCAGCTTTAGCAGGGTCATCCCCACTTTGCCCCATGATGTTATACAAGCTGAGTCATTTCCCGTCCACATAAAATCTCACAGAAATGCTCAGAAAATCTGCAAATTTATTCCTGGGGATCGAAGATCAGATCACTATTCTTTCCCCTCATTATCGTGATTGGTGTGGCACTACAAGTTACTTTTGGATGGAGTTAAAGAGTGATTTGTGATCGCTGGCTACTGAGGCAGACTCCATCTCCTCAGAAATCCACAACCACCGCCCATCCTTGCAGCGCCTCACGGCTCTCCGAACCTCTGAGCGAAGGCTGCGGTAAGCCTCCTCATTCTCTGACGTGGGATGCTGTAGACGATGAGCTTGTTGCTTTTCTCAGCCAGCCTGAACACCTCCTCTGTCAGCCAGGGTCTCTGGGGAGGTTTGGACCATGTACCCAAAGCAGCCATTGCAGCTGCATGAGTCACAGTCCTAAACCCTCGACATCAGGAGGAGTGGGGGACGATGCCAACCCCAGCTGCAAGCGATGATGGAATTATCGCTTGCAACTTCATCAGCTAACTGAGACCAGGCCACTTTGAGTTTGAATGGGGTCCTGGGTGTACACCCACAACCGGAGCGGAAGAATGGCAGGTGCATCGTACAGAAGACAAACCGATGGTCAGAGGGCAGATCAGCTCCACGGTCGGTCCTGGTGTCAAGGACATGGGCTCGCATCCGCTGGTCCGTCACTATGTAGTCCAGCAGATGTTCTTGCTTGGACCCGGCATGCATCCATGATGTTGTGTGGATGCGCCGATGCCGGAACAGCGTGTTGGTAATTACAAGCCCATTAGCTGCACAAACGACTAGCAGCCTCCTACCGTTGTTACTGAGCTGATCTGGCCCATATCTTCCAATCACTCCAGACCAGGTGCCAGCATCATGACCAACTCGGGCATTGAAGTCACCCAACATGATGACTCTATCCCGAGGGGCCACTTTAGCCAGCACCTGTGACAGGAGGTCATAGAAGGCATCTGACTCATCGGCCTTGCCTGCATCCCTCCACGGATGTTCGTCTTCGGTGGGGGCATAAGTAACCACGACCACCACTCCTCGCCTCCGGTTGATGGGAAGGCGAGCCCAAAGTAGCCCGGGGCTTACAGCTTCCCACACCTCACCGCCACGCTCCCACGCACCCTTCATTCTTTTGTTCAGAAGAAGAGCCACTCCCTGTTGTTTGGCAGTCTGCTGCCCCGAGTAGAGGACTGTCCACCCCTCATGGTGGCAGGAGCCAGAACCGGTCCACCGCACCTCCTGAATGCCACAGAGATCCCGGCGGTAACCGGTCCAGCTCCCGATAGAGGAGTGGCAGCCTCTACTCCGCAGTGAGCGTTCGAACATTCCACGTGGCCACCCGCAGTGGCTTTTCGTTGTTTCTGGAGGAGCCCCCGAGGGTAGAGATTCAGTCTCCTGGCTCCGCCAATTGGGCTATGGCCAGGAGACGTCACGGACTCCTGTACCCCCGGGGCCTCCGGCACAAGCTTAGCTAGATAATTTGTCCATGGTTTAGTGGTGATGAATTGAAGGTGGAGGGGTCACCAGCCCCTCGCACCCGTCCAGAGCCCCCTTTGGCCGCTGTGGCGGCTACAAACGCCACGAAGGGAACGGCCAATCGGCAATTGGCCCTACCCACCATGGCACTGCTCACGACAGCGTTACCATCCGGCACACACTCACAGCTGCGTGTGGTAGCGTTTGGGGTACAGCCTATATGTCTGTATCTCCATCTCCACCACCTCCACGACCACCACCGCCTCCACCACCTCCACCAACACCACCACAACTGCCTCCACCACCACCACAACTGCCTTCACCACCACCACCATAACTGCCTCCACCACCTCCACCACCACCTCCACCACCACCACTGCCTCCACCACCACCACCACCAGCTCCACCCTTCCCCAGACTCTTCAGCAGGCCCTGGAGACATCTGCTGCTACACTTACCCACACACGCCCACCCACCGCCACGCACGCTCACCACACTCACAGCTGCGTGTGGTAGCGTTTTCGGTACAGGTGTCTGTCTGTATCTCCATCTCCACCACCACCACCACCACCACAACTGCCTCCACCACCTCCACCTCCACCACCACCACTGCCTCCACCACCTCCACCACCACCACTGCCTCCACCACCACCTCCACCACCACTGCCTCCACCACCTCCACCACCACCACTGCCTCCACCACCTCCACCACCACCACTGCCTCCACCACCACCTCCACCACCACCACTGCCTCCACCACCACCTCCACCACTGCCTCCACCACCACCTCCACCACCTCCACCACCACCAGCTCCACCACTCCCCAGACTCCTCAGCAGGCCCTGGAGACACCTGCTGCTACACTTACCCACACACGCCCACCCACCCACCTGCCCACCCACCCACCCGCCCACCCACCCACCCACCCACCACCCACCCACCCAACCACCACACTCACAGCTGCATGAGGTAGCGCTTGCGGTATTGCCTCTGTCTGTGTCTCCGCATCGCAGCCGCCAACACCGCGCCGTTCCCGCCGCCGTTCCCACCGCCTCCACCGCCTCCGCCCTTGCCCAGACTCCTCAGCAGGGCCTGCAGGCGGCCGGTGCTGCGTGCGTTGCGCTGCAGGGTGAAGTCGCAGCGAGTCGCGCCCACGCGGAAGCCGACACGGCACGGCCGGCTAGCCGAGTGGAAGCCGAGCGCCAGTGCCGTGACCTGGTACTCGCCCGGGTTCAGCAGGCGCCAGTAGTCCCCGTCAGCCGCTGCCACGGGAAGGCAGCAGGGATGGTGCGCGGTGGGGGCAGGCGACGGTTACACGGTGGTGGTGGTACGCGGTGGTGGTGGTGGTACGTGGTGGTGGTGGTACGTGGTGGTGGTGGTGGTACGTGGTGGTGGTGGTACGTGCTGGTGGTATGTGGTGGTGGTGGTACGTGGTGGTGGTACGTGGTGGTGGTGGTGGTGGTACGTGGTGGTGGTGGTACGTGGTGGTGGTACGTGGTGGTGGTGGCGGTGGTGGTACGTGGTGGTACGTGGTGGTGGTACGTGGTGGTGGTACGTGGTGGTGGTACGTGGTGGTGGTGGTGGTGGTGGTACGCGGTGGTGGTGGTGGTACGTGGTGGTGGTACGTGGTGGTGGTGGTACGTGGTGGTGGTGGTACGTGGTGGTGGTACGTGGTGGTGGTATGTGGTGGTGGTGGTACGTGGTGGTGGTACGTGGTGGTGGTGGTACGTGGTGGTGGTACGCGGTGGTGGTGGTACGTGGTGGTGGTGGTACGTGGTGGTGGTGGTGGTGGTGGTACGTGGTGGTGGTGGTACGTAGTGGTGGTACGTGATGGTGGTGGTACGTGGTGGTGGTACGTGGTGGTGGTGGTACGTGGTGGTGGTATGTGGTGGTGGTGGTACGTGGTGGTGGTACGTGGTGGTGGTGGTACGTGGTGGTGGTGGTACGTGGTGGTGGTACGTGGTGGTGGTGGTGGTGGTACGTGGTGGTGGTACGTGGTGGTGGTGGTACGTGGTGGTGGTACGTGGTGGTGGTGGTACGTGGTGGTGGTACGCGGTGGTGGTGGTACGTGGTGGTGGTGGTACGTGGTGGTGGTGGTGGTACGTGGTGGTGGTGGTACGTAGTGGTGGTACGTGGTGGTGGTGGTACGTGGTGGTGGTACGTGGTGGTGGTGGTACGTGGTGGTGGTATGTGGTGGTGGTGGTACGTGGTGGTGGTACGTGGTGGTGGTGGTGGTACGTGGTGGTGGTACGTGGTGGTGGTGGTGGTACGTGGTGGTGGTACGTGGTGGTGGTGGTGGTACGTGGTGGTGGTACGTGGTGGTGGTGGTGGTACGTGGTGGTGGTACGTGGTGGTGGTACGTGGTGGTGGTGGTGGTGGTACGTGGTGGTGGTGGTGGTGGTGGTACGTGGTGGTGGTGGTGGTACGTGGTGGTGGTGGTACGTGGTGGTGGTGGTACGTGGTGGTGGTACCTGGTGGTTACACGGTGGTGGTACGTGGTGGTGGTACGTGGTGGTACGTGGTGGTGGTACGTGGTGGTTACACGGTGGTGGTACGTGGTGGTGGTACGTGGTGGTTACACGGTGGTTACACGGTGGTGGTACGTGGTGGTGGTACGTGGTGGTTACACGGTGGTGGTACATGGTGGTGGTACGTGGTGGTACATGGTGGTGGTACGTGGTGGTTACACGGTGATGATACGGGGTGGTACGTGGTGATGGTACGTGGTGATGGTACGTGGTGGTACGTGATGATGGTTACACGGTGGTTACACGGTGGTACGTGGTGGTACGTGATGATGGTTACACGGTGGTTACACGGTGGTACGTGGTGGTACGTGGTGGTGTTACGTGATGATGGTTACACGGTGGTTACACGGTGGTACGTGGTGGTACGTGATGATGGTTACACGGTGGTTACACGGTGGTACGTGGTGGTACGTGATGATGGTTACACGGTGGTTACACAGTGGTACGTGGTGGTACGTGGTGGTGTTACGTGATGATGGTTACACGGTGGTTACACGGTGGTACGTGGTGGTACGTGATGGTGGTACGTGGTGGTGGTACGTGGTGGTTACACGGTGGTGGTACGTGGTGGTACATGGTGGTACGTGGTGGTTACACGGTGGTACGTGGTGATACGTGGTGATGGTACGTGGTGGTTACACGGTGGTACGTGATAGTGGTACGTGATAGTGGTACGTGGTGGTACGTGATGATGGTACGCAGTGGTTACATGGTGGTACGTGATGGCACGTAGTGGTTACACGGTGGTACGTGGTGGTATGTGATGATGGTACGGGGTTATACGTGATGGTGGTGATGGTGGTACGTGATGATGGTACGTGGTGGTTACACGGTGGTACGTGGTGGTACGCGGTGATGGTACGCGGTGGTTACATGGTGGTACGTGGTGGTACGTGATAGTGGTACGTGGTGGTACGTGATGATGGTACGCGGTGGTTACACGGTGGTACGTGGTGGTATGTGATGATGGTACGTGGTGGTTACACGGTGGTACGTGGTGGTACGTGATGATGGTACGCGGTGGTTACACGGTGGTACGTGGTGGTATGTGATGATGGTACGTGGTGGTTACACGGTGGTACGTGATGATGCTACGGGGTTATACGTGATGGTGGTGATGGTGGCACGTGATGATGGAACATAATGGTGGTACGTGATGTACGAGATGGTACCTGATGATGGTACGTGATGCACGAGATGATGGTACGTGATTGTGGTACATGATGGTACGTGGTTGTGGTACGTGATGATGGTACGTTACGTACGTAATGGTGGTATGTGATGGTGGTACAAGATGATGGTACGTGATGTTGGTAAGAGATGTACGTGATTGTGGTACGTGATGTACGTTATGATGGTACGTGATTGTGGTACATGATGGTACGTGATTGTGGTCCGTGATGTTCGATATGATGGTACGTGATGATGGTACGTGATGGTGGTACGTGATGTACGTGATTGTGGTCCGTGATGTTCGATATGATGGTACGTGATGATGGTACGTGATGGTGGTACGTGATGTACGTGATTATGGTACGTGATGATGGTACGTGATGGTGGTACGTGGACCCCCCTAATGGAACATCTTCGCCGGTTAGAAACATTTAGGCTGGCCTGCCTACGATCCATCCTGGGTTTAACCAGGCTGGATTGTATGAGGAGCTCACAAATCCTTGAAAGATCTGGGCAAGGTCCCATCGGTGAGCTCCTCCGGCAGGCAAGGCTGCGATGGCTGGGTCATGTAGCCCGCATGCCCAGCCACCGCATGCTGAAACAGCTTTTGTTTGGCTGGATTGAGGGGGCTAAGCGGGCGTGGCACGGGCTAGAGAAGAGATGGAGTGATGTGGCACAGGAGGACGTGGAGCTGAGTGGACTTGCCGATGACCGGTACCAGCGGTGTCAAGATCGGCCTCTGTGGAGGAGGCTCGTGAAGGATGCTACTGGGCAGTTGGAGGCAGTCGCCCTCCAACAACAACGGAGGGCGGAGGAACGACGCTCAGAACAACGAGCGGAGCGCCGGGTGGCTAAAGCACAGCAGGTTGGTACAGTAGGGGGCACAGGTGGTGCATCAGCCAGTGATCTCAGTCAGTCGACCCGTGGCACCTGGGTCTGTCCCGTGACCTCCTGCCAGCGGGCGTTCGACACTTCACGTGGCCTCAGGGTGCACATAGCCTGGCACAAGCGTCGTGGTGACGTCACTGCCACTTAGTGGCGAATGGCGGTTGTTGTTTTTGTTGTATGTGTGTGTCCTGTATGTAAGTGTAAGTGTGTGAGTGTGTGAGTGTGTATGTAAGTGAGTGTAAGTGTGTAAGTGTAAGTGTGTACTGTGTAAGTGTGTAAGTGCAAGTGTGTGTGTATGTGTGTAAGTGTAAGTGTGTGTATGTAAGTGTGTGTGTGTCTGTGTGTGTCTGTGTGTCGACTCAGCCTCAAATGAGTACCTGGTGCGGTGTGTAAACATTGCCACTAGGGAGACAAAGGCGGTCGGGCGTGGTGCTGGCCACCCACCCCCTCGTGTACCGTTTCGGCCTTCATAGGTGCTCGCTAACAGCACTTGCCCCTACAGTCTGTTAAGGCTATATGGGGGATCTTTGTCTGTGTGTGTAAGTGTGTAAGTGCAAGTGTGTAAGTGTAAGTGTGTAAGTGTAAGTGTGTGTAAGTGTGTAAGTATGTAAGTGTGTAAGTGTGTAAGTGTGTAAGTGAGTGTGAGTGTGTAAGTGTGTAAGTGTGTAAGTGTAAGTGTGTAAGTGTAAGTGTGTAAGTATGTAAGTGTGTAAGTATGTAAGTGTGTAAGTGTGTAAGTGAGTGTGAGTGTGTAAGTGTGTAAGTATGTAAGTGTGTAAGTGTGTGAGTGTGTAAGTGTGTAAGTATGTAAGTGTGTAAGTGTGAGTGTGTGAGTGTGTAAGTGTGTAAGTGTGAGTGTGTAAGTGTAAGTGTGTAAGTGTGCAAGTGAGTGTGAGTGTGTAAGTGTGCAAGTGAGTGTGAGTGTGTAAGTGTGTAAGTGTGTAAGTGTAAGTGTGTAAGTGTAAGTATGTAAGTGTGTGAGTGTATAAGTGTGTAAGTGAGTGTGAGTGTGTAAGTGAGTGTGTAAGTGTGTAAGTATGTAAGTGTGTAAGTGTGAGTGTGTGAGTGTGTAAGTGTGAGTGTGTAAGTGTCTAAGTGTAAGTGTGTAAGTGTGTAAGTGTGTAAGTGAGTGTGTGTGTAAGTGTGTAAGTGTGTAAGTGTATAAGTGTGAGTGTGTAAGTGTGTAAGTGTAAGTGTGTACTGTGTAAGTGTGTACTGTGTAAGTGTGTAAGTGTAAGTGTGTAAGTGTGTGTATGTGTGTAAGTGTAAGTGTGTGTATGTAAGTGTGTGTGTCTGTGTGTGTCTGTGTGTGTAGGTGTAAGTGCAAGTGTGTAAGTGTAAATGTGTAAGTGTAAGTGTGTGTAAGTGTGTAAGTGTAAGTGTGTGTAAGTGTGTAAGTGTGTGAGTGTGTAAGTGTGTAAGTGTAAGTATGTAAGTGTGTAAGTGAGTGTGAGTGTGTAAGTGTGTAAGTATGTAAGTGTGTAAGTGTGAGTGTGCAAGTGTGTAAGTGTGAGTGTGTATGTGTGTAAGTGTAAGTGTGTAAGTGTGTAAGTGTGTGAGTGTGTAAGTGTGAGTGTGTGAGTGTGTAAGTGTAAGTGTGTAAGTGTGTAAGTGTGAGTGTGTAAGTGTGTAAGTGTGTAAGTGTGTAAGTGTGTAAGTGAGTGTGTAAGTGT